ACTAAAATCCTCTTATACATAGGTAATTACAATTTGAGATACATGGTATATACATGAGGGTTTCCTTGTTTGGATTATTTCGCTCGATGTACTTATGCTCATGTTGTGATTACCTAAATAGGATCAGTGATTTTATGTATTTATGTATTAACGGTATTTTCTATATACAACGAACTTTTTTCCTTGGGGTTGGTTGTGATGTTGCTCGCTAGCGCTTTGACGCTCATTGTCCCTCCCCCTTTCAGGTAACGAGCCAGGAGCCCGGAGAGTCACAGGTTGATGGCGATGTACTTTAGCTTCAGCCGTTTATTTTAGTTATATTTTTCTTTTGAACTCCACTGTAGACTTTTGTTAGACATTTGAGAGTTTATTCTAGAAGTTGTAAAGGTTGTGTGCCTTATTTCCTTTTATTCAGACATTTGTATTTAAGACTTATTAAGAAGTTCCAGTTTTCTCTTTTCAGACATTGACTTGTCCTTCAGTATGTTAGATGATAAAATACTAATTTGATCTCTATCATTTCATCAGTTATCTCTTGTATTTATCTTTTACTTACTTTGTACCTACACCTGTTATTGATTCTACTAGAGAGATAGTAATTGTGATGGTGAAACATGTTATCACACGGTGTGGTGCATAGCAGGTTTGACATTCTTGGTTTCACCTTGGACTGTAGTCTTGCGTGAACCCAGGGGCGTCACATCCGGCCTCCTCCGCCACCTCTAGATCCGTACCACGCCATCACCCCCTCCTCAAACGCCACCTTGAGCCACCCAGCCTCTCCTCCTCCTCCGACCAAAACTACCTTCCCTCTCCCTTCGTTATCTCCCTCAGCCTCTGCAACTCATCAGCTCGAGCCGCCGTCGAGCTCTGCCTAGACAGCTCCCTGTCGAACCCCGCTGCTGCCCTAGAACCCGAACCCCGCCAGTCCGCCTCAACCCTCCTACAGCGATGTCCGCCCCCTCATTGCCCGAGCTCGACGCCTCCCCTCGTTCGCCGTCGACGTCGACCATCGCTGACGATCGTGTTGCCTCGAGCACCCAGTAGCGTCTTTGGATCCGTAGTCCACTCGTTCGATACCCGAGGCAAGGTCCCTAATTTTGATTATTATTTATTTTAAATCTTTAGATTTATCATAAATTTATTATGTGCAAGATCCCTCTTGCTCGTTGTCTCATTAACTTAATTTTTTTATCTCTTATAAATTTATTACATATATGCGTAGATTAGTTTGTGCTGATATGATATTAATTGTGTGGTTGTTGATAATATTATGGTGAATATATTCTGTGAAACGATGCTATGAATGATGAATAAGTATATCAAAAAAATGGTTTATGGTTAATTTCGTGTTGTTTGAAAGGAAGAATGTATTTATAGAGTATTTTTAGAATTATTTATAATGAGGAAAATATTTTAAAAGGAATTATTTTGAGAAAATAATTTATTTTGGATAAGGAGTATTTTTGAATAATTGTTATGATTAAAAGAATTTTATTTTGAGAAAAAGAGTATTTTAGATTATTTTATAAAATATCATAGAAATCATTTATAAAATTAAAAAGTATTACTGTTCATAAATAATAATAAGACATATTTTAAGAAGATTATTTTAGAATTTTTATAATGAGAGATAATTTTAAAGGAAATTATTCTTGGAATTAATAACTAAGATTTTGATTTTCGTGTGCAAAACATCTGTTAATGGTAGTTTCATCTTGCATTGTTAATAGTAGCTTTACCCTCGTATGTTTCTTGCATGTGATCACGACCCCTGTTCACACTTCATGACACTGATACTTAGCGTAATTTCATTTATTATTCCATGTTGAGAATCATGAGAAGTACATGACTATAGTGACATGTATGACACAGTTAGGATCTAGAACATCGTGTGTAGTTGACCTGGAATTACGATAATTGGGGTGAGAAGTCTTGGTCCATGTGAGCGGTTGGGATTGTTGATGTATATTCCGGGCTCGCGCTGGTGAAGTTTGTGTAGTCACCGGGGTGGGTCTGAGGAGTTGAGATATTTAGGATTGTTGATGTATATTTCGGGCTCGCGCCGGTGAAGTTTGTGTAGTCACCGGGGTGGGTCTGAGAAGTTGAGATATTTGTGATTGTGGTTGTATTCCGGGCTCGCGTCGGTGAAGTTTGTGTAGTCACCGGGGTGGGTCTGAGGAGTTGAGATATTTGTGATTGTGGTTATATTCCGGGCTCGCGCCGGTGAAGTTTGTGTAGTCATCGGGGTGAGTCTGAGGAGTTAGGATATTTATGATTTGCGATCAGTCAGTTATCCGATGATATGCGCGTTGACTCTATGTGAGATGTGGACCAGTGAGTTGTGATAGGATGGCTAGTAGTATGTTTTCGTCACTTGGATGATTATGGATTCTTGTGAGATGTAGGCCAGTTGTGTTTCTTTTCATACATAGATCGGGATTAATATTTAATTATCTACAATTTGAGATACATGGTATATACATGAGGGTTTCCTTGTTTGGATTATTTCGCTCGACGTACTACGTCTCTTGTTGTGTATTTTTAAGTATTAATTCCATCTAGTTGTATGACATTGATTCTTGGATGATTTCTGATCACTAGATGCATGATCGACTCGTTACTTGATTGATTTTGTTGAATTTCCAGTTGCACGTTATTTTGTCATTTCTTTTATCGTATCGATTTCCGCTTTGGTTTTCATTTGTTCCATTTTCTTTTGCGGGGTCTTGCCGTGTGCCATGCACGCTGACATACACCAGAGCAGGTCCAGCTTGGAGATACGCCAGAGCCGAGTATTCTCAGCAGGAGTGCCTAGCGGACGGAGCAAAAGAAGAAACCGAAGCTTAGTTATTCCTTTCAGCTTGCTTTTGTAGCATTTCCTTTTCCTGCTGGATCGGTGTATTTTTGTATCTCTTCAGTATTCATTTGTTCAGTTTTGTATAAGGGCATGTTGATCCGAATATTATGTCTCGGATGTTATCCCATTTGTGATATGATATTTTTATTCTGAGTTTGTCTATTATATTCTTGCTGATTGTGATCGGGGACCTGTGACTTCACATTGTATTTATTTCTAGACGTTAGCGTATTGGAAAGAAAAAAAAATGATGATAATATTTTTTCTCAATCTAATACGTCGCAGACTTGTTCATGTTCTGATTCCCAGGCATTTTCGGAAGCGGGACGTGACAAACCATGATTACTGCACTCCACATTTTCTTCGCTTAGATCTTACGTCTAATCGTTTTGTGGATCCCCTTTTTTAGGTAATGAAGTGAGTCCGACTGTAGCGAACGAAGCATATTTGAATAAGCAGGTTACGAGGAAGTCGTCAGAGTCATGCAACAGAAATTATAAACAATAATTAGTTTAATTAGTCATTACTCGGTAGATACTTCATGACATTATTTTTAGATATTTATCTAGCATTTTAATGATCGTGTTTGAGCCAAGACTTGAATTTATTTTAGATGTTAAAGTTTATCTATCTAGTGGACTTGGTATTTGAACAATTGTTATATCTCTTTCTCGTTTCCCCTTTGATTTTTTTGTTGTGATGCTTATGTTCTTGTGATGAGACATATACTTTCATGTATATTTATATTATGCGTGGTTGTAGATGTGTAACAAAACAAGTTATATGGTATTTATAAAGCACTTTATATTTTTGGTTCTATAAATATTCAACTTACCAAGTCATTACCTGTGAGCGGGGCGTGACAATTCATGTTCATATTCACCAAAATTAGATACATACGGATACAAAACTGGATAAGAAGAAAAGATATGTGATTGATGGGCATATAAAACAAGTAATGTTTAAACATAAAAGGTTCCCAAATGAGAGATCCATTAAATGTGCTCAGCATATATGAAAACCTAAGATTAAATTTCTCTTCAAAATTGGCTCCAAATTTATTAACCTAATGAAATTTGACTGCATGGTTGATACATATACATATACAGACCTAGATATTTCACTTACGTATTCACATTCATTGCATATCTTATTGGATATTGATGTTTATGTTTGTATCCGTATTTTATCGGATATGGATTCAGATACATTGGGTTTTCCCCGTAGAAGTCATCTTCAAATAAGGTAATTATACGAAACCACTTTTTATTTTTCATTTATACATAAATTGTCTATAAAGTTGGTTTTTCTATTGCAATCAATCACATCCCAGTCAAATATTTACTAAAAAAGCCATAAATAAGCTTTAAAACTTCATGGTCAAGGTATGTGAGTTGTACCCTAACATTATCTAAACACTAAAAGAATCCGCCAAGTGCCTTGATGGGTTTTTGAAGGCTAATTTTAGGGTTTTTAACGAAAAAAAATGACTAGGAGGTGGTTGACTGTGACAAAAACAAACTTTAAAACCGATTTATGTGCAAATTGAAAACAAAAGATGATTCCTGCGTTAAAGCATCTCCAACCCAACTCCAAAAACCCAAAATGGAGCAAAAACTGCGCCAAATCTTCCTCCAACCGGACTACAAATTCAGCGCCATTTTGATGAGGTGCTACAGTGTTGCGCCAGATTTGGCGCAGCACTGTAGATATGGAGATTTTGGTTTTTCCCAAGTTTGCCCTTATAGTTTGTTATAACAAATCAAATATTCCAACTATATCCCATTTTATAGTTTGTAAATAAAATGAATATTCTTTTTGGTGTAAAATTTAGTGTAATGGTTGGAGATGGAATAGTAATTTGGTGTAAAAACTACACCAACTTGATGTAAAAACTATACCATTTTCGGTTTTTGGGTTGGAGATGCTCTTATCACTTAAAACTAGACGGTTTCTATGAAAAAACCCGAGTACGTTTGATCCCAGCTGACTCTTGTCCCTATCTGCACATTTGCTCCAATATCAAAAGTATGCCAAAAGAACAAAAGTAAAAAGATGTTCAATGGGCCAGGAGTTATTCAGGTAAAGCGGTACTTTTAGCCGAAAGCGACGAGCGGGCTTAAATGGCCCAGGTACGAGCTGGCTGTGTAATTTCGGCGGTGAAGAGTAATACCAAAACCCTTGTTTTTGAAATTCCCGCCCAATCACTCTTCCCCTCTTCCCCAATTCCCAATTTCCCCGTCATTACTGCTACTGCTCAACCCCCTCATCATCACTCCCTTCCACCAAAAGCCAAAACCTCCCCCAGACCGAAGCAGCATCGATGGATCCATCTCCTCCTCCTCTTCCCCAAAACCCTAACCCTAACCCTAACCCTAAACAAGTCTACCAGATCTCCGGCGTCCCCGTCGAGTTCCCCTACAAGCCCTACGGCACTCAACTAGCGTTCATGGGCCGGGTAATCTCGACATTGGACCGGGCCAAGCGTCAGGGCCATTGCCATGCCCTTCTCGAGTCGCCCACAGGCACCGGCAAGTCCCTCTCTCTTCTTTGCTCCGCCCTCGCTTGGCAGCGGCATCACCCCCGTCGATTCCCTCAATGCAACCCTAAACCTAACCCTAATTCTCAGCCTTCTACTGCCCCGGACCCGCTGGTCCATGGTGGAGGGTTCATCCCCGAACCGGAGACGTCATCGAGTAAGAATGTTTTCCGACTTCTTGGTTTCAAGGTTTATTTCTTACTTTAACACTCCAAGGTTTCACCCTTTTAACTTTGATAACTTGATGTTCTATTTTGATGATTTGATACCTACAACTTTTCAAATTGACATTAATTTGAATATTACATGACCCAAAGGCTGAACTTTGTTCATCGCCTTCCTCAAACTGAAAGAACTGAAATCTGGTAAGAAAATTGTTTCTCATTCACTTTTCTATGCTGATATCATGAGCAAAGTTACGTCGTCGTGATCATCATCATCATTTGCATTTTAGTTTATTAATGTTAAAAAAGGGTGAAACTTTGGGGTATTAATGAGCATATAATCCTGGTTTTCAAGTTGGGTTTCGCTACATAACCCCCAAATCAACCATATTTGCAAATTCCACCTTCTAAATCTAAATAGTTACTAATCTACCCCTCAATTCTACCATGTTGAGTTAAATGTAGTCGTTTTTGAATGGTGGAAAGGAAAAATTTCAGCTAAAAGCCTAATAAAAGAATCAGGCTTAGAATATCCCTTAACTTTTGGGGGATTTTAACTCAATTGGTAGAACTGAGGGGTAACTTAGTAAATATCTAGATTTCAAGGGGTAAATTTACAAATATGATTGTTTTGAGATTATATTGGGGTTTGACGGTCAAAGATTGGTTCTTTTGTTGAATGCCAGTGAATTTGGAGCAAGGGAAGGCAGTGATGAGCGCTAGGGATCAAAAGAAGATGGTGATGCCCAAGATTTATTATGCCTCGTGAGTGCTAATTGTTTGGGTTTTCCAGCTGTTGATTGGATTAGCATGTTTTTTTTTATTGGCGTTTTTGTAATAATTCTTGTTTGATATTTGTAGGAGAACACATTCACAGATAAGCCAAGTGATTCGAGAGTACAGGAAAACATCATATCGTGTGCCAATGGCAGTTCTTGTAAGCTACCTTTTGCAGATTAAGTTTTCTTATATAATACATTTCTTGTGTTGCTGAACTGTTTTGCAGATTAACTTTCCTCATATGACTGTTCTCAATCTAATAATAACAATATCAGTTCCATGGTAATTTTTTATATTGTAACATATATGATTCTGATGTGATTGGATTCTTTTATCATCAAATGTTTCTATATGTCATTGATCTATTACTTTATGTCTGATTGAGTGTTCAAAACATCATTTTCTATGGTTCCCTTTCTCCTACATGGCTGTACTTTTTTTTTTTATTAGTGGTACATTGCTATCCTTGTTGAGAGTGTCATAATTTTGCTTGCACCACGAATACCTATGGGCCGATATTTTACTTTTCAGATTTTGTTTTACCCTTTTTCTGTGACTCACTTTTCCTAGTTTATTCTCTAACTGAGATTATTCCTGCTCTCTGATGGCTTTCTAGGCATCACGGAAGCACTATTGTACCAATAAGCATGTATGCAGGACGGAGAATATAGACGAAAACTGGTAGTTTCCTTGTTCTCAAAACATCTCTACATCACTACTTACTACCATCCTGTTTGTATAACAATCTTTGATATTTGTCTTCGTTCCAGTAAACTCCTCCTAAAAGATGAAGGAGCTGGGTGTCCTGAATTTAAGTGAGTATTTTTATTTGTTTGATTTGGGAAACTTTGCTACAAATATTTTGACCTTACATGTTTCTTTAACAAGAAACTGTAAATTTATGCAAACAGAAATGCTCACAAAGTCAAAAGTCATTCCTCTCTTCAGAAAGGTGGCACTTATGAGGTTCATGACATAGAAGACCTTGTAAAGATTGGCCGAACTGTGAAAGGTCTTATATACTCGTGTGCTATGTCTATAAAAATGAAGGTTTATGAGTTCTTAGGCCTTGTGCAACCTTTCTCTGTTGTTTTCATTTTCAGGGTGTTCCTATTTTGCATCCCAGACATTAGCAGCCGAAGCTCAAATAGTTTTCTGCCCGTACAGCTACATTGTAAATCCAGTTGTTCGAAGAGCAATGGATATAGACATCAAAGGATCCATTGTGATTCTTGATGAAGCCCAGTATGCTCTTTTCTATCTCATTAAAGCTAGCTAAGAAATTTGTTCAGATAATGCTGCTGGTTATATCTGCCCTGATGCAAATTTGTCATTTTGGACATGTGACAATCTGCTGATTTCAGATGTTACTATTACATGATTTCGCTCATGTCTAACGGACATTGTAACCTCAAGCTTGAATTAGTTAGTTGCTGCAGGCTATTTCCCCTCGATAATGTCTTTTATTGCTGCCATTACTTTGCAGCAATATAGAGGACATGGCACGTGATGCTGGAAGTATGGATGTTGAGGAAGATGTTCTCCATAGTAAGATCTACACTGATTCATCTATTCTTTTATTTCTTATCTCATGAAATCTAATATGGTATTTATTGAATCCTGCAACAGTACTGCAAATGGAATTAGGGCAGCTCTGCATGGATGAAAGCCTTGCATTAATATATCGACCTTTATATGACACAATTCAGGTACTGTTGCAAGATTGTAGTTGTTATAAAATGGGTTTAGTCTAAGTAATAGAACATTCCATGAATCTGCAGGGGATTATTGGCTGGATAGGTGACAGGAAAAACAATTTACAGAAGCGAGAATTTGAACATTACTCTTCATTGTGAGTTCTATTTTGGTTATTATGTCATTTACTAAATTAAGATATGATTTTTGGGGCTTTTGCTTCTAAGCGCAAACTTCTACTCCCATTTACTTTTAAAACCCACACATTTCTGTTTATATCTGTAAACCCTAATCCCAAAATACTGTTTATATTTACCTTTAAATCCAAAATTACAAGATGCAACGATATTTGCATAGTATATGTCTTAAAATACAAAACTACCCAAGATACCCCTTCTCTTTCTCTCTGTAACAATATGACTTCTTTCCCCAGCTCCAATGGCATCAACGTCCTTCCTCTGCTGTCGCCAACCCTCCACTGCCACCTCCATCTCCACCCACAAAACTACTAACAAGAAGCATTGTCATTCTCTATTCCAATGTTCTTTCTTCGACCCAATGTACTTATCATCAATACTACCAACCTCAAACCCCTCTGTCAGATTTCATCGCTGACAAACTCTCATCCTCCTTTGGTGTCTAGGACGAGTTTGATGATTCTGGACGCCTTCATCGCCAACTCCAACAATCGATTATTTGAGGATTTGTAAAAGAGAACTCTTTATCCAAGTAAAGAAATATTGACAATTAGCTGGTTGTTGAAATGAGTAAAAGAAATGGAAACATGATTTTGTTTTCTGAGAATGAGTTTGATAATCTGATTTTGTTCTCTTTTGTTTTATTTTTTTCCCTTTCTTTTATCTTGGTGCTGGCGGTTGAAGAAATGAGAGATGCTATGGGCTGTGGGTTTGAACTTGTTAGCGATGGCGGGATCAAACAATGATGGCCATTGATGGAGTCTTTGTGTGATATCTTTGTAATTCAGAAGACAATCTGTATGATGGAGAGCGTTTGAGCTATGGCAACAATAAGCTCGACGGGAAACAAATGATAGAAAGTGATGACTGGATGAGAGTGTGTCAACTTCCAGTTGTAGGATGATGGAGATTAAAATACTGTTATCGGAGGAGAAAGGATTTGATGAGATATTGAAGTAGTTTTTCATTTCAAATAAATGTGTATAACCTTCTGAAGTATAATTTAGATGTGAAATACTGTATACAAATAGGTTTTGAAACTTGAAAATGTGATGGGTCTCAATGGAAAAGAGAGGAGAGATGGGGAATGAAGCTTTAAGAGGAGAAAGAGGAAATACAATTTGGGTTTAAAGTTTTCTTTTTGTAAATATTGTGTACAAATATGATGTATTTCATATTTTGGGTTTAAAGATAAAAAGAGAAATTCTATTGGGTGTATGAGTATAGATAAAAGTAGGTGGGTTTAAGAGTAAACAGAGTTCAAACTTTGGGTTTAAAGGCAGAAACCCCTTGATTTTTAATATATCTATCAGTTGGCTTACTGTTAAATATGACATTTAACAAATATCTCTACCTATGAACCCTTATTGAGCTTACAACTTGCTTAATGATGTTAGAAAATCATCAGGATCCAGTTGCAAGAATGTTTTATCAAGAAGAACTGTATATTTGCTAGTTTACCTTACAACTCCATAGTAGCTTCTTCTGTAGCTTGGCCGACTAGTAATGTCATTTTTGTGTTGATTTAGTGGTTGTACTGAAACATGTGAAGTAGCTTGTATTCATATAATAGGTTTTGTATATTTCAACATTTATAGGTATGCTCCATTGTGTCAAAATAAGGTGATAGGAGGATAATATTGTCACAGGAAGACTACTCTATGATGGTTCCTGTGACATTATACATGCATATTCTAAGAAAATAATTATTGGAGACCCTCAGCTAACTGTGCACCGCTCAATAAACTAGTAACTCGGGATCAGGAAATATATAGCATTATTTGGTTAAGACATGCTCTACTAAAGTAAAAATTCAATGGATGCAAGAAAGCAAATACTTCAACTTAGAGCCAAGGCATAGCCAAGAGGCCACTTAAAAGGTTATGGCAGCCTTGTCAAGTGAAAAACATTAGTAAATTATCATCAATTTCGGGGACATTTTCAATGTAGCCACAAGGATCAACTCAGACAGAAATTTGTCAAAACTCAAAACCGTGAAGTCAACTCAGGTACCGCAAGTTTTTCAGTTTGGCCTAGTTCGTAAAAAGAACATATTAATGAAATACAGGTTCTAGGGTGAATTTTGACGTATCTCTTAGGGATTCCACTCATTTTGACTTTAATGGAAAAGTCTGAGTTACCCATCGAAATCCTGGCCCAAAGAAAGGTTCCTTTACCTTGGATTTGGAGTATTTAAAAGAAGTCCTGATTCAACATATCTAGTTAATTTGTGAGTCTGTTATCTTCCACAGATATCTCATCTTCCTGTAGTGTATCATATCTGAACTTTACATCACATTGCCCTTTTATCTAATTCTTGGAATTCTGTCATGTCAATATAGTTGGACAGGGGATAAAGCCATCAATGAGCTTCAATTAGCTGGAATAACTTTGCAATGCTTTCCAGTATTACAAGAATGTGCTGCAAAGGTTTTGCTTGGAACATTCACTTGTCTGTGCTTTTTCCTCAAACCATATATTTCTTTACTGATGTCTTATATTAATGGAAATCTGTTGCTGAAGGCAATTAAAGCAGTTTCAGATGCAGAGTCAGAAGGAGCACATTTAAGTGGCACCTCGGCTATCACATTGGAGAGTAAGATGCTAATATAATTTGCATTTCAACTCTATGTATGTCTATCATCTATCATAACATTCTTCACTGTCCAATTCAGCAATTTTCTCCTCATTGGGTTACTTTTTCTCTGGGAATGGCTGCCATGTGCTTGATTATCAGCTTGTATTGCAGCGACATGTGAAAAGAGATAGCAGTAAGTACTTCCTTATGACATGTCTGCAAAGGATACAAAGACTAGTTTAGTGGGATTCATGCATAGGATGTAAATGTTAGAAGGAATTCTGTTTGACAGGCTTTTGTTAAATAAAGAATTTACAAATATGGCGACACTTCATATGATTTTGAAGACTGCACTGGCTTAGTTCCTTGACAGCTGACACCAAGCATAGAAATCTTTTGGGTCTTCTTTGATATCTGACAAACATATGGATGCACTCTTCTTCTCTCTTTCTTTCTATTTTTGTGCATTTCCATGTTTGGACACATTCCTCAGTTCTCAGTGTCATTGTCCCTTATCAGATGCAAAGAATGAGTTCTCTTTTTAAGTATCAAGGACCTAAATTTACTCATGATAAGTAGGGGTAAGATGTTCTTGAAGGGCAGCATGAGCAAGGGATGTACTTGAAGCAGCCACTCATGAAACTTGGTCCATTATTATAATAAACTGCACAAAAAGTTACGGGACAGCCAAGTGTAGCACTGTAGCGTAGTAGCACAGATCCTATGTTTTGTGTCAAACGATATAATACTTGTAGTTCAATTACCATTCATTTTGCTAGATTTTTCTGCTTCAGCAATCTCCATTTCTACGTATCCTTCTGATCTTACACTTTTAATCTGTTGGCTTATTTAATTAAAGAAATTTATGTTGTTCAGGTAATACTGCAAGTGGCTGGACTTGCTCGTTAAGCTTGTGGTGCTTAAACCCCTCCGTTGTTTTCAGAGATATTGCACATCTCTGTCTTTCAGTTATCCTAACATCTGGGTAATCGCTAAAACATGTATTCAATAAATTATGAATGTCTCTCTTGTGTATTATCATGCTTACAAATGAAAAGTATGGAGTAGAGTGTCCAATTGCTTCTCCTTTTTTATATGGGATCGTTCTACATGCTTCATTAAAGAGGGAATAGTACATACAACTTGCAATAAGTGTGACAGGATGTTATTGTAGCTGAAATAGCATAGTTGAATTGTAATACTTCTATTTTTATTTTCTTTTAAAAAAATCATCATGCTTTATGTTCGGTCTGGACTCTCATTTGGTAGCTTGAAGTGCATATTAGCTAGCTTTAGCCTTTAAGTGGTACCCCTTTTTGAGTATTGTTTGTCACATCACCAATGTTTCTCTTTATGCTACATTAAGTATCAGCTCTGTTAGTGACAGAATGAAAACCTAACCACAGATCTGCCGAAGAAAGAATAAAAAGACGGAGAGAACAACCAAAAAAAACACAGGGACTTAAAGAGGTTTGACAACCAGTGCAATTATCTACATCCTAGGATTATGTCCAAGTCACGATTCCGTTAATAATCAATGAAGTCTACAACCATTCTCTTAAACCCGAACCTCACCTCCCTCTGTTGTCTCTAAGTTCTCTCTTTTGGATACAACTTCAATAGGTGACCGATATACATATTTATATCATCTAATTTCTGACTATAGGGCTGTAATTACAACAGTACCCACACCTCACAAAAAGGTAAATTAAATTTTGTTTTGGCGGTGCAATTAGCGCTTCAATTTTGGGTGCTGGTGGTATGCATTGTATATATAAATCACGTTCCACAAACAAACAGGCTGATGCATTGGTTTACATTCTGCTAAGTTTTCTCACTACGATTACTTTGGATTTCTATAAATTGGTAACTGTGGATGCTCCTTTAAGGTTTTTCCAGAGTGCAACCATATTTCTTGTTCCATTACTTGTTCTCGCTTATTTAATGATGGTGAAAATTTAATAGAGAACTAGAAGTAATCAAGGAAGAAGAAACACTCCTTGATACATTCAGTAAGATTTGTAGGTGATCAAACCTGTATCAATAGTCAAGTTATGGAGAACACTGGATAACTCATTTGAAACGTGCATTCTGATTGTGATTGACAATTTATTCTGAAAACCTCTTTTATATCTTACAATTGCTAGACAGGATCCTTGTTGTCAGTTGATTGTATTTTGTTAATTTAATTTGTGATATGTATTGGACTTGGCTACATCCTTCTTCTTTCTCTGTTATCTTTTGCTTCTTTTATTACTACATATTTGCTTATGAATCATTTCTTTCTGCAGAACACTGTCTCCAATGGGCTCTTTTGCATCTGAACTTGGTGTGCAATTTGAAGCTTGTATGGAAGCACCTCATGTAATTGATGTGGAATCACAGGTGTGGTACTGATTCCATAATCTTATCTATTCATGTTCCCCATTGTTGGTCCTTAACGATTTTCTTATGTAGCTTTGGGCATCAGTGATCACCTCTGGACCTGGAAACTGTCAGTTAAATGCCAGCTACAAAACTGCTGATGGTTATGCTTTTCAGGTACTCATATATTTGATGCATACATTTCTCTTTACACCAACAACAAAGTCTTTATCCCACATTTTCATGATTTGCTACATGAAACTTATACTTCCAGTCAGCTCTGTTAAGGACTTGCTCCTCCACTAAGTTAACCCTTATTATATTATTCTTACATGCATTTCTCTTTGCGTGAAAAAAAAGAAATATGATGCGGTAAAAAGTTTGAAGTATCAGTTGAATGCTGAGATGATCCCTTTATCATGACCAATTCATATATCTTACACATGCAACATAGATGTTGGCCAACAACCAAACAACAACAACAAAGCCTCTATCCCAAGTATTTGGGGTCGGCTACAATCAAGTGGTACAATAATTTATGAAACATGCGTCGAGTGTTAAATGGCTTTATGGTTTTAATTGTACTTTATTTGTGCAGGCATGCCTAAGTCCTAACACATATATCGGTACATTTAATTCTCATGCTGTGTGGTTACTCACTTACTGTATCTCAATACATATTTTGTTTCTACTTTCTACATAGTATCTCAAGGTCAAAATCATGTGCGAAGGACTCTTCAATATTTCACATTCACTTATCAGCATCATGTCAACACTAATACATAGCTGAATTGCTAACACAAAATATCTTGCTGTGACATATATAAGTGATATGCATCATTCACCTGATTATGTGATGAAATCGTTGTGTATCAAAGCCAATGTTTGAGAAAGCTTTTTTGAAACACACTTCGAAACTGCTTCACAACTTTTTGAAGGTTAAATGCTTTGAAACTCAAGAGTGAAGCTATTTATTCCTTGAAGCTTACGCCTCATTGCTTAAAGCATAATTGAAGTGTGCGCTTTGCTCTTCATAAATCACTATTCTTTTGAAGCGCACGCTTTAGACAAGATAGGAGGAACGATATGACCACATGAGTGTAAATAAAATATAAATGTTATGCATGTAGATTCTTTTATTATGATTCATTTCTATACTTTGCATATTTAATTCTTATTTACTAATCAGGAATACCCCTATATATTTAATTCCCACTCTTTGAAGCTTTCGCCTCGCTTCATTAAAGGGGCTAGCGCTTCGTCTTTTGCTTCCGTTTTTTAATCTTTGATCAAAACACATCCTGTTTGAAGGTTTCTTACCTTGCCTTGCATCAACTTAGCAAAATAAGATTTTGTCAACTTCAACGATAAACTTTTAACTTTTATGAGTCGCCTCCTCATATGTCATTTAACCATTATACATTCATTTTCTTCTTCTTCTTCTTCTTTCCATTTGTGTGCCCAATTGATTACTGAATAAATCATGGTTCGGAGTGTTTGTGTAAATTGGATAGGGATCCTTTCGTCTGCAGTAAAGTAAGCAGATTGTCCAAAGCCGCTAATCTTTTTCTCCCCACTGTGATTCGAACCAAATGTAACCAATAAGATACACCTTGTGAGCTGGTTCCTATCTTTACACTTAGAAGAATCACAACCGTTCACTAAGAGAGGATGGGCACGATCATGCCTTGAACCACCATCTCCTTTTTCTGCAGATGAGAGGATCTGGGTTTGTGTAAATAATCGTGTCTATGACATCCCATTTCCAATACTGATTTTGTTAATAACTTTGTTAGTGATTAGTTATTTTTATGAAGGACTCACTGGGAGCTTCTCTGGAAGAAATTTGTAAGATTGTACCAGGCGGTGCTCTTGTCTTTTTTCCTAGTTATAAGCTTCTGGAAAAGCTACGTCTCCGTTGGTGCCAGACTGGTCAATGGTCTCGGCTAAACGCACAAAAGTCAGTCTTCATCGGTAGGAGTTCTCACACTAAATACATGTTTTTTATTGCTCTTCATTAACAGTATTATCATGGCAGTGTCTCTTTCCAAACCTAAATGTTTATTTATTACCATGATGAATATTGTTTTCAATGGAGGTCTTTCCTACTCCACAGGAGTGTCAAATGCATGCTTAAATTTTATCTCAAATATTTTTGTTGATTTTTAAAAACTTTTTAATATGCATTTGACTATCTTGAAGAGATGGTAAGAAATCCATAAGGAATAAATAAATCCAATATGACTATGAGGACAGGAGGTATGGAGTAAATAAATTTCTACGAGTTTTACAGAGCCAAGAGGGACAGATGAGTTTGAATCAGCTTTGGGGGAATATTATGATTGCATTCGTGGACAAGGTAGAACTTTTCGTGGCAAAACCAAAAATGGACAAAAGCGATTTTCTACACACATTAATCCAAAGGCCTCTTCAGAAACTTGCACGAGTGGAGCTGCTTTCCTTGCAGTCTGCCGAGGAAAGGTAGGGGCCATTTATTGTAAAATTTATCATAACTCAACTGACTTCTATAATAATGTTATTTGTCTGTCTCATTTTTATGTATCACAATATTTTCATATGGAGTCAAGGACTGATGTCTTGAGTTTTTCTCTTTCTTATCGTCTTTGTCTATTCTTCCTTGTAGCTTAAGCAATTTTCAGTTATATCTTTCCCAGTCTTTGCTGTTTTAGTTTCCTTTGAGGACTCAGATTTACCCAAACATATAGTATTAGTCATGAACACTGTTTAAGCGGCATGCTGATAGCAAATTTTAGTGAGAAGGATGATTACGAGCAGAGTAGAAAAACTATACAATACAGACGGGAAATGGATGAGTGGCTAAGTTACAAGGAGATTATTAATACTATAAAGATGAGGTAACACTTGTATGGCTTGCAAGGCCATTTCCATAGAGATGAAAGAATATGTCATGCTGCAAGATGTGTTCTGCTGGATTCTGGTTGTTGTTGAAGACATGTTCATTTTGTTATTGCAGAACTTGCCAGAATGATAGGAAGTGAGAAGCAGTCAAACTTATAAGTGTCAAATGACTTGCATTAATCGTAGACTTGTAAATGTTAATTCTCCACTCAAGCTTTCACGAATACCATTTTGATATCTCAAGTGACTTGTGCTATATCTGATCCTTCATCTTGTGCATGGAGGTTCGATGAAGTATTTAATACATATTTTTTTTAATAAATTTGATCAACTACTGTTTAGCATTTAACATTGCCAACATTCCTCTCTCCAGGCAACATAAACACCTATGCGCTCATACTTATTGCTTGCATATATACATTTTATGGAAGACAGCTTTGTTTAGGGAGTTTCATCAATTTTACAAATCTAACATGTCACATGTGAAGGAAAATTCCTCTTTAATATGTTAAAAGTTATTTTTCCAACTTGGAATGTTTAATTTAAATCTTTTTGTTCATATAGATCAGTTTAACACTTATAACATGCAACACATGCCACCTAATATCATCAAGGAAAGTTTTGCCTCAAATCTGTTGAATGAAGTATAAAATTTTCATACTTTGGGTTTTCTTCCTTTAGATGTTGATAATGTTATCATCAAGGTTTTAAATATCGGATACCGGGGAAATATCAGATGACCCAAATTCATATCGGATTGCGGATATCGGGGACATATCGGAGATATGTGGTAAATATCGGAACGCCATAACTGATGTTTGCATATATAGTATAGTGCACTAAAATGTAATATCAACATATGTAATAAAATCTAAGTATACAAAATGTAAATAATATATGTTTAGAATTACTAATCAACCTTGTAAAACAAACAAAAGTACAAATCAACGTTGCAACATTTGGTTTGATATTTTAGGGCAAATGTCATTTGATATAAAGGGGAAATCATGATATCTTGATTCTCGCCTGAAAATTGCCAAACACAATATACTGTTTTGCGACAAACCATATAAAAAGATATATCGGTCCACATATTGATTGATATATCGGCTACATCGGGGATATATCATCCAAAACAGCCAAAAAGCGGTAAAAGATATTTAGAGACCATATCGGTTGCGGCAAGCCTTGTAAAAGGATATATCGGGCCGTGTCAGGGATATTTAAAACAATGGTTATCATATGGGATGATTAGGTTTGTGAAAGCTGTTATGGTGCTGAAATCAGATATTTAGACAAAAAATATAAGCATTGTAATGGAGAAGCTTAGTAAGGGATACTTCATTATTCTACTTAGCAATTTCTTTCTCATAATATTTTTTCCTTTGATGTTCACTGATGATTATTCCTTGTTATCTACAATGCAAGTAGACATATTTGAGTTTCAGACTACATGATACATAAAAACCATTACTATGAAAGTTAGCATGTACAATAACTGGATGTGTAAAGCATGTATATCAGTTTAAATGCATATTGGGAATGCGTATTTGACCCAAAATATTCACACTATTAGAGCTGATGTGTTAGAGTGCTGCTAGCTATAAAATTATGTCCAGTTTACGATCGAAAAGCTTCCAATCACTGTTTGACCTTTGCAGGTATCTGAGGGGATAGATTTTGCTGATGAAAATGCAAGAGTAGTTGTATCCTTCCATACTAAATTCTGGTTAATACTTAGTTTGATAATCAAGCAGTCTTTGAAAATTCATTATGATTATGTTTCCAACCTATTGAAGTTGTAACTTCTTATTCTGGTTGTTTGTTTCTGAAGTACATAAGACTTGATGGCCAAAAATATCCTTAACCAAAACTTAGGTAGTAGTGGGCATTCCATTTCCAAATACGTAAGCATTCTCTAAGAATCATCCCAAATATTTTATGTACACTCCAATAATTCATCTTAATGATTTAATGTTCAATCAGAAACGACATTCAGGTTGTGCTGAAGAAAAGATATAATGATACATACAAACCATCCAAAAGTCTACTAAGCGGAAGTGATTGGTACTGTCACCAGGCATTCCGTGCTCTGAATCAAGCTGCAGGTATACACCTAGGCTCTTCTGTATGTAACTCTGAAGAATATTAATGTAGAGAGAGATGCTTTATTTTGCACAAACTTTTGAATAAATTCTTTCACCTTTTTCCTTGGTTTCCACTGCAGGAAAAGTGAATCAAGCCCCTCGTTTGCTCTACATTCTTAATTTGATATAATGAGCGCTATTATCTTAAGACCATCGCTATCTAGTGCTATTACTCATTGTTAGATGAATCTATCCTAAGGAAGCTTTCCCTTTTATGTCCTGAGAAGCGCCTAATGTTATTTCCTTTAAAACTATCAATATCTAATGCTATTACTCATTGGTAGATGAATTTATCCCAAAGGAAGCTTTCCCTTTTATGTCCTAAGAAATGCCTAATTTTTATTTCCTTTTTCTAACTTCTGAAAAGTGTTCATACTTCCCAAGAAGCAACGTTACAAATATCACCCACATTTCTATGACATATTCCAGTCATTGTCTCTGCTATTGTGCTTTCTGTCACTTGACTGGTAACAGGGATCATGCAGGTGTCAAGGAGCAAAGGATATGAGACAAAACCTTATAGATTCTAACTTTATGGATAAGATTCTTATTTAGATTTGGATTCTCTTTGAGGACACAGATTTGATGTATGTCTTCTTTCTATATTAATTGTTGTCATGCCCTGGGCCCGTGAGCCTGTTGGCACCATGTAAGCCGTGAGACCTACTGAGTGTAGCACGTTGTTTAGGCTCAAACTACTGCCAAAATCGACTAGCCGATGCTACACTTGAGCCTTGATCTTCACTATATAAACCCTTCAAACTCTTACTCTCAAATGTGCGACTAAATATTGGGGGCTTCACAGTTATATCGGTTATCTCATTGTTATGATTTCAACTAAAAAACACATGCATTATTTAAAATTTTTAATCTCAAATTTAATGAATTTATACCATTAAGCTAATAATATAAAGGGCTACAGTGATTTTTTTTATTACACCGAAGGAAATCTATTGTGGGCAAGTGCACGTGACTTGCTGAATGGTGCTAGCTGCTTAAGCATGCATTTTCGATGATGGTGAATTATGACTTTTGATAAATTTTCTAATTTTTGCTGAACTCGCTTCAGAAATTCATTCAGTGCTGGCCTTTGTTGTTGAGACACCCAAAAAATCTATAGGAAAATTAGTTGTCATTTGCTATAACGAATACTTTTGAGTACTTTATACACACATATCTGAAAGCTAATAAAAATACGTTAAAATATAGAGTTGCATAAAAATAATTGCTAATGAAGTATATGTACTGAGAATTTAAATGAGTTACATTTGGTAATATCCTTATGTTTTCCAACTTACACATGATTTTTTCTTTTTAATATTCATTTCCTACAATGTTATAGAAGTTTTGAGATTTGGTTGAATCATTTTCTGTAATGTTTAATTTTGATATATGCAGAGCTGAGGATATTGCACACAAGTATCCATGTACATTTACATAAATGCCAATGTCTCTTTAGAAATATGTATTTGTATCACATATCATATCCACTTTCTTTCCCTTTTGGTGACTCTTCTTTCTTTTGATTTGTACAGGAAATTTATCTGATATTGTGTAAATTATATAGATGAGGATAATTTTCACTGAATGCAAATTTAATTTGAATGTTCCGTTTATGTAGGTCGCTGCATTAGGCACAGGTCAGATTATGGTGCTGTAATTCTTCTAGGTATGTAGTTTTCTTTAGCTAATTTTCAATGTATGTAGTTGTTTCGCTTTGCTTGCACGTTTCTTTGTTCTAGTAGCGAAGAAAAGTTTACCCTTATTATCAAAATGTTCATGCAGATTTAGTCTTTGTTTCTTGAGTTATGTTGGACATAGCTATAGCTAACTTTCATGATGGTTCTAAATTCTAAGAGGACGGATGTGTTTTTTTAATTGTCTTCATAGCACCAATGCTACTGAAAATTACCACTGCCAGGTCTATTTCTGAAAACCTGCACCACTAATTTATTACACACGCCACTGCTAGAATACACCATTATCTTAGTAAAAATAATATAAATGTTTTAAAAAAATGTGTGTGTGCGTGTGCGCACGCCCATCTTTAACACTTCATGCGATACATTAGGTCAAATATTTTACATAGTTAGGGTTTTTTTTCACCATGATGCTTGAGGGATGATGTATTCTAAAATATTCTTGACATAAACATTTATTATGCATAGTTAATGACACATTATTTAATAAATTTTTTCCAGACGTTTATTTATAGAAATGTTTTAAAAATGTGTGTGTGTATGCGCGCACCCAGCTTCAACACTTTATGCGATACACTAGGTCAAATATTTTACATAGTTAGGGGTATTTTTTTCACCATGATGCTTGAAGAATGATGTATTCTAAAAATATTACATTTTCCAGATTTTCAGCACAATTTCTGTGATTTTTGTTCAAGTCATTTCCTTTTCTTACCTTTCTGGTAACACCCTTTTAGTGCTTGAAACTGTCCAGATATAGTTCCCTTAATAAGTTTTTCGTTGTATATTTCACTGTATGATTAAATGCAGGGATTAAAGTTTAGCTTTACTACATCACCCTGTTATTTTGACAATGAACATAGCATCACATTGGTCTAGTTATGTTTTCTACAAAAGATATTGTGATTGTAATTGCATGCTATGTCAAACTTTTGCTTTCTGCTCTGGATACATGCAGATGAGCGATTTAAGGAGAAGCGGAATCTCAATTACATTTCGAAGTGGTTAAGGAACTCAATCAAACAGTATGACAGTTTTGATGAGTCAATGGCGGGACTGCGGAGTTTCTTTGAACAGGTTGAGGTTTTGTATTCACCACCTGAATTCATTTCCGTAATAATTGATGCTGTCATGGAATCATTTCTCATCCTGATCATTTTGCAGAAAAGGTTAATTCAGAAAGGCAGGGAAAGCGAGCTTGTTACCTCTGACCCTGACATTGATAATCTAATTTCTTCAGAACAGAATTTGACTGAGGTAAATACACAGAAGAAAAACCAGAAACAAAAGAAGCCCAATGGTGGGAGAAGGAAGATAATTCCTGATGATAAAGTCGGCGCACCAAAAACATTTCCAAAGGATGGTTCTCCCTCTGCAACAAAATCTCAGTGCCTCACAACATCAGCAAGCGAGTTAAATGAGAAAGTCTTGAGCCAACATGTGTATGCTCACTTGAAACCAGTTCCCTGATCTCCACTTTTATGCTTACTTTGGCTTATGTTTTCATATGATTAGTTCCTCTTGCTTGACAATGTTGTATCCATTGTATAAATGCAGGTTTTCTGCACCAATATGTATAGCCTCTCCTGAGAACACTTTGGAGCAATCCACAGTCATAAACAGCACTGCAAAAGGGTATCAGGCCTCAAAGCCTGATGGATTTTCTAAGTATGACAACTCATTTTCGGGACTGATGGAGTCCTGTAATCAGCTTCTAGATAGACAATCCTTTTCCTGCTGTACATTTTCAAATGGAATGTCTTCTGAAGATGCACGTACAACGACAATTAGCCCTGAAAGAGTAACATATCTAGATGTCAGTGATACTGAACAGGAATCGACATTAAATAAGAGCGTGAATTCTTATAGCCAAAGAAAAAGAAAGCTAATGGATGCAAGAGATAAAAACCGTTCTCAGGTTAAAAGTTTGAACTACCTTGATTCAGAATCATGCTACAAGTTTGACCGCATCAGTGCCAAGAAAATAACTACATATGCCAGTCGGAGGATTCAGGCTTCTTTTGCCGACAGTTGTTCAGATGGCAAGCCTCAATTACATGGATTATCAATGCAAACTAACATGGGCATGCTACCTATATTAGATGATACATTAGCAGAAAAGAAGCTACATATCTGCTGTTTGGTCTGTGAAAATCCTTTGGGATTGCTTGAGAACAATTTTATTGTTCCATGTAGATCAACATCATTGTCTAAGGTCTACTTGGCATATATCCTGGATTATGAGCCTAAGGGTTATAGCTTCTTAGAGTGTCTTTCAAGTATTCTAAAAAAAGAAATAAATGTTATAATTTCTGATACTTCAAGTGTTGATCAGCGCATGTTTAAGACCGGAATTAATGAAAACGTACTGCAGCATGATATCTGGTGTGAAGAAGATGGATGTGTGTTCAGGACTACTCTTTGCCCTTTCTGCACTGACCGTAGCGCCTGTCTTGGAGTAGAAATTAAAGCAACTGATACTTCAAATGTACACTTACTAAATAAGGTATTATCTTCTGACAAAACCGATGATTTTTATATATTGCACGGTTAGCTGGAAAATTTGAAAAGATCTCATATTATTTAGTACAATTTCACTTTTATCAGAATCATAGACCCTTTATTGGACTTTCTCATAATTATTTAGTACAATTTCACTTTTACTGGAATCAGACTCTTCATTGGACTTTCTGCATTCCAAAATGCTACTTGGCAACTTATCTGAAAGCTACAAAAATATGTTCTCTTTTCTTGATTTAATAATGTGATAGATTACTCGGTTTATTTGTAAAATTTCTGTACATTAGTATAACATAGTCACTTGTTCATCGGTATTTTATTAGATTATTGATTAATGTCATTATTGATTAATGCTCATTTGGTTCTTCATGTTATATTTATGACAGTTACATGATACAGAACTTATATATATGTTATTTTACATATTTTCTCCAGTTTCGTGACCTATGACTGATTCCATTTTCTTAAAGTTTTGATCTTGAATGAGCTGCTGCTGGCATGCTCAATAACTCAGTTCTTTGGAACTCCAAATAGTTCACTTCGAAGATGAAAAAATGGTTTTAAACTTTGATAGATTGAACCTCAGGATTCCCATCTCTAAATATAATCAGGACTTTCATCTGGTGGGGAAAAAAATAGAAAAAAAAAGAAGACACCCATGCAGGTTTTTCTGTCTGATCTGAACATTGATCAACACTTACCGGCCAAGATAGGTGACTTTGCACCTACTGAAAATGAAAACTAATGTATTGCTATTGTTTTTTTAATGCAGGTTGTCTTCTTTGCTGATCACTTGTATATTAAGGATGAACAAACGCCAAAGCAAGAGGTATTATAATGTATTTATCTTAACTTTGATGATTTATGATCATAACCTAGCCAGCATAATTTTCTTGATGGACCCGATACAAATTAATATGCCACCCTCTGGCAATCTAGAAACTAGCACGTTTAAGATAAACGTTTGTTTCATTTTAAAGAAGTTTCTTTTTGCCAACAAACTTGACTCACCAAATCTAATTCTTTTGAGTAGGCGACGCTGCGCACTTGTGTAAACAACCTCAAACCAGACTCAGGTTCAGTTGATATTGAGAAATATGCATATAATTCTCAGCATGATTCTGTATTAGCGAAAAGAGAAAAATCAAAGGTTAGAAATGATGCTTTTACTCTTGACATACTAATTTTCTTATTAATTACTACCATCATTTCGTTTCACTTAGCAGCTCAGATTGCCCAGGAAATGATTAAACTTCACTAAATCATTATGATGACCTTAAATTACCAGCGGGCCATTTTGTGGTTGGTCTCTTCAACTTCTGCAGTTTCAAGTATCTTTGGTTGCACATATGAAAATGTTTTTGTATTAATATATCTGGTTAGACATGCTTGAAATGGTTGTATTTATTAATTTTCCCATTTCTGTGTTATTGCATGCAATAATCTTCTGGTCTATTGTATTTGCACGTTTATTCGTAAGATTTAAGCTTGAGCTTTTTAGAATCTCAATTTTATTGAGGCATTACTTGTATTTGCAAAGTTTGCCGGTGACATTAAGAGGTTATGTGGTAAGGGGCATATGGTTGCATAAGATTTTTGTAAGTTTTTATACAGGAAATATATGTTAATTTTTTAAAAATTCTCTATTTGGTATATGGGGACACTGACTGTTTATTATTATTATTTTCTTGATATGAGAAAGATTAGAAGGTTCATTTTCCACTGGTTTTGATGTTCCAGTGTCAGACGGAAACAAAGGAATTTGGGAGGTTTCTCAACATCATAAAAATTTCTTCCTAATTCCATGTGCAAAAGACCACATAGGTATTTTTGAGAAGATGAAATATTTTTTTTGATCATAGTTGCCGGTGCACGATAGTAGGGGTTTGTTGATAGAATACTTGCAGAGGGTAATCTATTGTCTGACTTGAATATGGTACTGCCGTACTGGACATTTTCATTTCAACACCTAAGCTTTAGTATGGATCCTCGAAGTATTTTGAGTTCTACATACACAAATGTATACATATATATTACATTTATTTGTGTGGGCCCTAAGGCTTACTAAATTTTAGGGGAGTAAAGTGAAGAAGCAAGGCTGAGCTGGTAACCAGTAAACTCGAAGTCACCTAATTGATACAAATTCAACGTATGGGCCTTACTGCTAATATAAGCTCCTAAACGGGAATTCATTCAAACTCTGGAGCTTGAAACTGAAGTAAAACAAGCCGAAGTGAGCTTCGGAAATGGGAAGAATAACCTAGTTATAAATGGGAGGTTGGGAGCATACTATATATATATACTATAAATAAAAAGAGGCTAATAGCCTCCTGAAACTGAAGTCAAACTAACTAAAGTGAACTTCGGAAATGGGAAGAATAACTAGTTATAAATAAAAGGTTGGGAGCATAGAATCATATCATATTACCTTCCATTTTGTTGTGCCCTGCTTATTTTCTTTGTGTCGTCCACCCGTCCTGCTTAGGTGGGGTCGACAACCCTTCCCCTATCTCCCGTACTTAGTTGATGCTGTGGAGTTAGGGGTGCTAAACCGAAACCGTATCCGTATCCGAGGAAATATCCGTAATCGTATCCATTAGAATACAAATATGGTTACTCAAATCTATATCCGATAGAATACGGTTACAGATATAGTTTTGTAGTGAAATATCCGAAATCGTATCCGAAATATCTGAATACATATTAGTCATATTATTACAATGGTTTTAGTCTTTAGCAGGGCCGGCCCCGAGGTTTGGGTTGCCCTAGCCCCAGCCCCGGCCCTGGGTCGGCCGGGTTGCCCCATGACAACCTCCCCTTCACGACGACCTCCCCTCCTTTGGCGAATGTCGCGTGGTTCTGAAGAGTGTTGGGGAGGAAGCATGATCCGCCGCCCTGAATCTACTTGCTGTCAACTAGGCCCGTGCTGCACACGTAGTCGATGTTCGATTGGAGGGAGGCCTCGGTTACATCAGGCTTTGGTACGCACCACTTGGTGCCGACGTAGTCGATGTTCGATTGGAGGGAGGCCTCGGTTACATCAGGCTTTGGTACGCACCACTTGGTGCCGGAGTCTGAGGAGGGCGCCGGCGTTGGACTCACAGCCTGCACCAATATTGGAAAAAAGAAGAAAAGACATGAGTTTACTTGCAACGATAATTAGTGAGGTATTTGTTCATCTTAAACTTTTCATATTAGACCGTTAACTCAAACTTTAACCTCCTAAAGAAAGAGAGGATTGAGATTTACTTTAATTTTTTTTCCACATTACCCCACCAACAAATACCTCACTCCCTATTTGTATTGAAAAAATAAAAGCGCTCTCTCGAATCTAGGGGAGCCAGCTTGCTTGTCGTAGTAGCGCAGCACCACAAAGAGCATAATAAAAAAGCAACGATAAAAAACTCTTTGTCAAGAAAAAGCTAGCCAATGCACGTGCCTCGTAAATGGCCCATGTCAGGGGTGCATTATCGTAATATACGTACTATTAAAAAGCCAGTTCGTTTAAATTTAAGTACGTTACTACACAAGAAATCGTACAGCCGCGAAAACTATATACATAAATCTATCAAGTTTCACAAATACCGCCCACGACCCCCGCCATAATTACAATTCTACCAACCGCACTATCCTCGTAGAATGTGCCCCGAAAAAGGCAGAAAGATTCGACTCGGTGGCAAGCTCGAAAATAACCCCAAAACCCAAGCCCAAAAGAGTCATAGGCAACAAGGGGATGGCGTCGTTGGGGGCAGTGAGTCGTATTCACCATCGGAAAAATGCTTGCTGAAGTAGAAGGCGTTAGTGGCGATCAGGAAGAGGACGAAGACGGCGACCAGGAAGACGACGACCTCCCCCTGGGTTGCCCCCCGGCCCTGGGTTGCCCCAGCCCCGGGGCTTGGTGGGCTTACCCCAGGGTCGGCCCTGGTCTTTAGATTATGGATATGAGGTTAATTTTGACGATCAAGATATCTAACATTAGCTTTTCAGATATATCCGTATGTATATCTGTATCCGTATCCGTATCCGATTTTAACGGATATGAATATAAATTTTCCTTACCTGGGTATATCCGTATCTGTATCCGTATTAGAAATAAATAAGCGGATATAGATATGATAAACATCGTATCCGAACCGAGTGCACCCTTACGTGGAGTTCATTTTTGTTGACCCGTGTTTTTCCTGATGCTCTATTGACAGCTGTTGTCGCTTCTTTCTCTCTTCTCGTTCCGGAACAAATCCGACTCCTTTTCACTCTGCCTTATCATCATTCTTCCCTGATTAAAACTTTTCTCTCTTCAGGTCATGCAACTTCTTTATCATAAAAAACGACTACCTCATGAAATGCCTCTCTGTTATGGGATGTTGACGAAGGTCGTAAAGGTTAATTATTTTCTTCATATCTTCATATTTTGTTGAGGATTTACCTTCTCCCCTCCTCTTGTTTTCCCTCGATTTATCATCACTATACAACATGGGCTTTTTGTAGGATTTTCCGTCGACTTCAAGTTAGGGTGTACTGTGGCCTGGATATTTTGATTTCTCAATTCGCACTACGCTTTCTGAGTTCAAATTAGGCTTTCTAGCCTAGATATTATAATTTTTTAGGTTTAAAACTATGACGGGATCCACCCCCACCCCCACCAACCATTTTAGTTACGAGTTTTGCCCTAATATTAATTTTTTAATAATAACCGGTTTTCACCTAAAACTGATTTCCAGTTAAATTTAGTGATTTCTATCTGAAAATGAAGAGGTTCTCAACCTAAAATTTTCATTTGTCATTGCATTAGATTTTTGCGTAAGTATTGTTGTATTCGGGATTGCCATTGATATGTGTTTCTTTAGTGAGTGAGGTTGTCCTGTTTGGTAGATTAATGAATCTTCTTCCAGTCAATAGATGAAAACTTTCGCAATTTGGAATAGTAGACCTATTCAATTTCCAGCTTACGTACCTACAGGATTCATATTTCTCTGCATATGAAGTAACAAATGTTGAATAATATGTATAGCATATTTAAATTAAACGAGCAATTAAACGGGCAAAAGACACGTATTTCACAATGTTGATATCTGCACTTATTGTTTGTTTCGTTGTAATTAATGAACTTTTTATAGAATTCCATCTCACATAACTTTAACCACATAAAGTCATTTGTAAAACCCCGTATTTTTGTTAGAAGTATATATGAATTATTGGTGATAGATAATTCTATTGTGGTATATGGCTTGAGGTCATAGATATACTTGATATCAAGTTATTAGATATGTATAAATGTATTTTTATAGAGTTTTGTGCATTGGTTTTGGTAAATTAACAAAAACATGCACGGATCTGGAAAATGTCTGCTTAGTCGAATTATGAGTCGACCAATGAGTCGACTGATGAGTCGACCTATGAGTCGACTGACGGGCTGATTTCAGATTTCTTTTCAGTTGCGGGTTTGGTTGAGTTTCGTTCGGGTTTTAACCATTCTATATATATTCTTTACCCGAAACCAACCCCAAATCCATCAGTTTACAGAACCCTAGCCCCCCTCTGTCTCAAACCCTAGATCTAGTTTTCGGCGGCAAGATTGAGGGATTTCGGGGAGTTCATCAGGGGTTTTTGGCATGGTGCAGCGTAGGGGATCACTCTCTTTTGGATTCAGGAGCTTTACAGCATACCAGAGGCGAGTAACATCTCGTCCATCCCTACACCCACTGTTTGTATAGTTTTATTTGGTTTTATGTCGGATTTATTGAGCCTAAATCATTATTTTGCGTATAAAATATATCCCTATGGCATATGATGCAAGAAATCAGATGTTTCAGTTGATAAAAACTCACCAACGTTTTTATAATGTAGATCCAGATCTGGGGTTAGTTTTAAACATGAGTTTCTTGTGATTCTTTGTTTTCAATACGTTTTTAAACATGTATAAATATGATTAGGGTTTTAATGTAAATAATTTCATGCAAATCTTTCGTTTCTGTTGATACACATGTGTTAGAATCAGATATATATCGCTGGACATGATGAAGAAGAACTGTAGTTTATCACTTTTGTAGATAATCATCGTAAGCAGAAAACTAAGGATTTTCTGCTCAGTCGACCAATGAGTCGACTCATGAGTCGACTTATGAGTCGACTGATGAGTCGATCAATGAGTCGACTGATGAGAAAATTTACAGTTTTGTGTTTTGACTGGTCGACCAATGAGTCGACCAATGAGTCGACCAATCCTAGTTGACTCATGAGTCGACTAATAAAGAGATTTTTAGTTTTTCCTCAGTTTGGATCTGTTTGAGTTGTTTCAGTTTAACTGAAACTGTTTATGCTTGTTTATTGTCATCGTGTGCTTTAATATGATCGAGGAGTCGCCTCGAATAACATGTATTAGAAACTATTGTATAACCTGTATCTTTACATGTGAGATGACATACAAACATGAGTTTAGGTTTGCACACCGAGACACGTGAGAAATTAGGGTATATGCACCTGTTCATATAATTCATCTTGTCCATGTGTTGGGCAATTATG